AATAATAATAATAATAATAATTATAACAATAATAATAATAATAATAATTTTAATAATAATAATAATAATAATATTAAGATAATAATTATGATAATAATAACAATAATATTAATTATAATTTTAATAGTAATAATAATAACAATAATAATAATAATAATAAAAATAATAATAATAATATTTATAATAATAATAATAATAATAAGAAGAAGAATAATAATAATGGTAATAATAATAATAACAATAATAATAATAATTATTATAATAATAATAATTAGAATAATAATGATTATAATAATAATAACAATAATAATAATAATAATAATAATAATAATAATAATAATAATAATAATAATAATAATAATAATAATTTTAATAATAATAATAATAATAATAATAAGAAGAAGAAGAAGAATAATAATTTTAATAATAATAATAATAATAATAATAATAATAATAATAATAATAATAATAATAATAATAATAATAATAATAATAATTAATAACAATAATAGTAAAAATTATTATTATTATTATTATTATTATTATTATTATTATTATTATTATTATTATTATTATTATTATTATTATATTCCAACATTTTAAGTTTAAAAACTCTTTTATTTTATAACGGTAGCCTATGATTTTTTAACTAAGTAAATGTATAAAAAAAACTTAAACATTATCTATTTTAAAAAGTTTATGACTTGAAACGAGGCTAGATCATAATTCTCTGTTAGTTAGTCATTTATATTCACATTTCTAATAATATCTCCGGTGTTAAAAATTGGCGATTTCCAATTCCACATTTATATATTTTCTTAGGTTCTGTACGAAATTCTCAAAATATATCTTATTTTCGGAGATGCATATCCGAATGCACTAAATTTTATTTTTTTTAAAGTAAAACTTGGAGATGCACAACCGAAGTCAAATTAAGAGTGTGTTCAGAGATGCATATTTGAATACACTTTTATTTTAATTAAAAAAATTAATTCGGAGAGGCATCTCTAAACTAGGTGACCATATTTAAAGGTCGCGTCAGACCTCTCCTCTTCTCATTCTTCATTTTTCAAAAAAATAAAAGTTTCTCTAAACTCATTTCCAGTATACACTCAAGATCAACTTTTGAAACTACATTAACGTGTTTCTTACTATTTACAACTCCACCTACCTACTGCATTCAACACCATAACACTCTACAACTTCACCAACACATTTAAGAGTAAGTTTTTCATTTAGCTTATTTTAATTTTTGATTAATATATTAGCTCAAATGTACTAGTTTTAATGTATTGTATAACTCAAATAGGCTAGCGTACAAGATTGAAGACTCTGTTTATATGATTAAGATGAGTTTGATCGGGTTTGATGAGCCAGGGAAGTTGCAGAAATGGTTCTTCCATTGAAGTTGTCGAAGCTTTTTTCAGATATGTATATCTGAACAGTGTTGTTTCAGATTTTCGGATATGCATATTCAAACTCGTTTCTTTCTCTTATTTTTGTTATGTTTTTTTCCAGGATGTCTGAAAATCTAGAAAGGTAGAGACTTAGGTGACCCACCCTAACTTCCTCTGCTCGTCGCGAGAGGATTTATCAGCACGAGCAGGCTAGAGCCGCCACCTCAACCTCACGATAGGGAGGCGCCAGGCTCTAGGAGTACTCGATTATCACGGGGATCGAGATTCTAGAGTGTTGCACACCATGATGAGGATGCCTCAATTTTCCCAAGTGCACCCTAGGTATGGCTTGCTGAGGATGGCCCCCTTGCAAACTCGTTTCTAGGAGGATCCACAAACACGTTTTTACCCATATACTTTGGAGAGCATGTGGCTCCGCATGTTTGGGAATGAGAGGTAAATTTCTGAACTGCCTCTATTTTTTTAATTTTTTTAATCCAAATTCAAGTCAATTGATCATATTTTACTTTATTTTAAACATGAGTGTGTTTGTCTCAAAAATGTGAATCATGCAAGAAAGATTCAGGGTCTTTACTAGCTCGAGGAAGTCTGGTTCCAAAATATACTCCAGAAGTTTGGGCTAATCGACCTTTGTGCTACATGGTACACATACATCATCTATGGAATTCCTCTTACACCTTCCCATCATAGGAAGGTTGCTTGATTATTCTAAGATCAATAAGGTTAAGGCACAACATATGATCGAGGTTTATTTGGGAGTTGACCCTGCATAAGCCTTAAAGCAGTGTAGAAGCACCAGGGGTGCACATGCAAAGTTTTCTTGATTGTCGGGCTTGTATGGCAAAGATTTAAAGATAGTTGATCACGTGGACACTTATGATCTCTGGTTTACCTACCATATGATGTGTGCCCTGAGGTGATACTTCTTATTCTTGGTCGGCACATCCATGTTTGGGGTCAAAAGTGTAAATCATGTGGATGTTTCCTACCTCAAATATTGCACAGACTTGAAGACCATTGGCGAGTGGAATTAGGGGGAAGCATGCTTGGTTTACTTGTACTCCAACCTGAACTAATGTTGCAAATGGACGGCGAAGCAGATGACAGACTCACACACCCTGCTTACGATAATTTCCAAATTTTACTATTAAATTACAAATCAATATATTTTCACAATTGCTACTAATATTTTTTTCTTATTCGTTTTCAGGGATGGATTCATGCTCAATATCACTGCTTCCACGATTTTAATCGTCGCCTATTATATACTCATGATTGGCAATATGCTTGTCAGTTTGTCCCTAGAAAAGGAAATGATCATATCTTGATGTACCATGTGTATCGATCAGACTCAACATGATGACGTAAGATAGAGACCATACAGTAGCCATTAGGACAAAGTTCAATTTGATCTTATTTCCTTATACTCTTGGTGGTTGGCATGTGGGACCAACATTATGTGCAGGTATCTGCTTGAGCGGTGCATGCGATATTTTTGGTATGTCTAGATTATTCTGAGCCCCCCTTGCAGACTCCTTCCATGACTATTGTCCGGAAACACCTGGATGCCATTCTGACAAGGTTTGAGAGACGTCTGGTACTAGAAGAGTATTAGAGTCAGGCAGTCACATCAGAGTGGTCTTATATGGAGGGTTACATGACATGGTTCTAGAGGGTGTTGCACCCTCACGTGACATAAGACGCTCCTGGACGTCCAGCTAGGACTGCTCATAAAGAGATCCTAGAGAATGAGCAGGCCATGAACGACCATGTCATTGATGTGTTGTCATGCTGTCAGACCATTATGCGGCTTACACGTGTAGTCATCGTGTCCGAAGTGTTTGCGAGAGGTGGAGATGAAGTGATCGCCCTAGCATAGTCCATTACTACAGAGGCATGAAGTGACATGGCTTACCATAGACAGAGGAGGAACTAGAGTGTTAGGATTAGGCATACACAGTAGAGTATGTATTTGATTGTATTTTGTCTAATTTTAATCGATCTTCAGAATAGTTGTTGTACCAATATATTTAGTTTCTATAACATTCGGTTTTATTAAAGTTTTACATGGTTCTATAATATTTGGTTTTATTAATTGTTGATACAAATAACGATAATTTTAATCGAATTGAAATTAGTTTGAAAACACCACAATAATAGAAAATTGATTTTGAAAAAATCATACAAGAAACAATTCGGAGATGCGTCTTCGAATTTTAAAGTGAAAGGTGACTTCGGAGGTGCATCTCTGAATTTACCCTAAGGCTGAATTCGGAGGTGCATCTCTGAACTAAATTTTGTCAAGAAACAATATTTGATGTGTTCGAAAATGCATCTTTGAATTCATCCAAAAATATTTTTAAATTTTCAGAGGCGCGCCTCATATAATAAAATATAATAAGAGTGAACTGAGAAATTTCTTAAAAATATGACTCATTTGATTAAAGCACGACAACTAAGAAAAAATATTTATGATATTAAATTTTTTTACAATAGATTTATTTTAAAATTTTCATTAAATAGAGATAACTAATTCATGTTTTAGTAAAATATATGTTAAAGGAAATTTTAAAGTAACATGATTTTTAAGGCCAAAAGAAAGTAACATTATATTTTGTTTGAGAGTTTGGAAGAGGAGAGAGGAGAAATTTTTGAAAAATGTGAAAGATTGAATAAAAAAAATAGAAAGATTTTGATAGAAAAAATCTTAAAGAATTTGTTTTTCTTCATAACACTAAAAACTCTCTAATTTAAAAAAACTCAATTTATATTAACCCATATTATATGAGTGTGATACGAATATCCTAAATTTTATTCAAAAAATATCAAAATAAAAAAGATAAACTATTTTTTTCACACATAACTAACTTTTTAACACTATTAAATAATTGTCATACAAATATTAAAAACCAACAACTATATTAATTATCTTGTAAAATATTGATTGTGAGTTGAAATCTCAACACTCTTCTTATTCTTCTTTGAAGGTATGAAATACCAACAATTTAGAAGAAAAGTTTAGTAAAACTAACATAATTAGTAGTTGTACATAAATATAAATAGCAATAGACTATTTGAAAGAAAAAAAGTTAGGAGAAAAAAATTCTTACTAACTTTGGAGATTCAACTTATTTAAAAGAAAATAAAGGCATCTTTATTGTCAAGATTTTCCAGCTTATAAAGCTTCATACTTTATTCATTCATGCATAGTTTGCCACTTTGATGTCTCTATCAAACCCAAATCCACGTTCCATAACCACTTGCCTCGCATTTGTCCAAAATACCATACTTTTATATTCAAACGCAGGCCATTATTATTTTTTTCGATAATATAATATATTTTCTCATGTATATTAAATTTCTCAGCATTTGACAATTTCATACAGAATATAATATTTTCTAAAAAGATTAATAGTAATATTGTTTTTTAGGTAGCGTTATATACTAGGTAAATTGTAAGAGATATCAAATCAAAATAGACCTAGCAAGATGAATAGAAAAGCTAAAATGTGCAAGAAAAAACTATATAAAGGGTGATGCTATGTTTCCTAATATCAACAACAAAGCCAAGTTTGAGAAAACATGGGTTCTCAAATGGCCTCTTTTACTCTCACTATTGTATTGACAATACTCTCTCTCACCTTGCCATCTCAAGCAAACAACTACATATATTCATCTCCACCACCACCACCTAAGCCTTACTACTACCATTCTCCACCACCGCCGGTGCACTCACCTCCTCCACCTTATCATTACAGTTCACCACCACCACCAGTGCATTCACCTCCTCCACCTTATCATTACAGTTCACCACCTCCACCAAAGAAGTCGTACAAATACTCTTCTCCTCCACCACCAGTTTACAAGTATAAATCACCACCTCCACCACCTAAGAAATCATACAAATACCTGTCACCACCACCACCGGTTTATAAGTACAACTCACCTCCTCCTCCTTACAAACACATATCTCCTCCAACACCTGGAAAACCATTCAAATTCCCACCCCCTCCAACACCTATTTACAAATATAAATCTCCTCCTCCTCCTCCTTACAAGCACATATCTCCTCCAACACCTGGAAAGCCATTCAAGTTTCCACCTCCACCAACACCCGTTTACAAATATAAGTCTCCTCCTCCTCCTCCTTACAAACACATATCTCCACCAACACCCGGAAAGCCATTCAAACGCCCACCTCCACCAACACCCGTTTACAAATATAAGTCTCCTCCTCCTCCTCCTTACAAACACATATCTCCTCCAACACCCGGAAAGCCATTCAAACGCCCACCTCCACCAACACCCATTTACAAATATAAGTCTCCTCCTCCTCCTTACAGACACATATCTCCTCCAACACCCGGAAAGCCATTCAAACGCCCACCTCCACCAACACCCATTTATAAATATAAGTCTCCTCCTCCCCCTGTCTATTCACCACCATCCGTTTATAAATATAAATCTCCTCCCCCACCGGTTTATTCACCACCTCCCCCACACTATGTCTACTCTTCACCTCCTCCACCAGTCTATTCCCCACCTCCACCACATTACATCTATGCATCACCTCCTCCTCCTTACCACTACTAGATAGTGGCTTACCGTAGTATCCCATGGTATTCTACTGACTACATACTATTTACGCAAAACATTTATCATTACAATTGGTTACTCTTTAAATAAAAACATGTTTTTTAATTAATATTTTAGAATGAGTTTAATTTTCACCTCTTCTTCCTTTTTTTTTTTATTATCTGAAAGTTATCATTACTTATTACTCTAAAATATGCTAACACTGCAATTAAATTAAATTTTATTAACATATTATACATACTTTATAAATGAAACAATTTTAATAAGAGGAGCAAAATAAGTGATTTTAATAGTTGTAAGTGTCCAAGTAATGAAAGATATTGATATTCTTATACTTTTGTAGGATTTGAGGAATATATATATTGGAAATAAAGAGAACAAGTGAAAAGCAGGAAGATGCATTTCACAATATAAAGGAAAAAAAAACATCGGAAGGAAAGATTCCACGCACTACGTCTAAAGAAAAGTCGCTATTCTTTTCTTATTTGTTATGTTATGAATTATTATTCTCATTATTGGAGTGCTAGGTTTTTGAATTTATACAACTGTAAAGCACTGTGTGTGTAATTTCATGAACGAGTAAAGCTTTTTATTTTGGAACTCACTATTTATTTGCAAGCAAGGTTGTCAATCTCGCGGTAAGAGTTTACAAGACTAGAAGAAAAAATGTGTTAGACTCGCACTTACGATTGTTTTTGTGGTAGATTTAATGAGACTCGATCAAATTGAGATAAACTCGTACAAACTCGGATAAACTAAAAAAAATTGAAATGAGTTTATGAATTTGATGTGATTTTGAAGAAAAGAAAATCTCAACATGTTAAACTTCACTTTTTTTATTAAATAAAAATCATATGAATAGTAATGTTTTATCTCTTAAATGTATGGATATTAATTTTTAAAAAATGGTTATATTGTCTAAAAAAATAGTGACGCAGCTTATTATCTATTTGTCTTCCATATAAGTTTTAGTGTGTTACATATCAATATTCTTCTCCATTACAACCCAATAAATAAAGGAAAATCTATGGTGAAGTTCTTATTTTGACTTTTTTGAAAAAGTCACAATTCTAGCCAATCACAAAGGTTTTTGAAACCCTAGTATGCCACATAGGATTATGTTATACATTCAAGTTATTATGTAACTTCATAATTGTTAATATTGCAATTAAGTCATAACCTATTTGCAACTAAATCACATTCATTATTCATTCAATATAATTAATTTTTAACTTCAAAATTGATATTTTAACAAACTCAAAATTAATTTAACTACTGAAATAACTTCATTTATTTTAGTCTATCTTCTTCCCCAACCAATCCCAACGAACACAACTTCATCTTCTACAACTTCATCTTCTTTACTATCAACATTCATCTCCATCCAACGCAATCGTAAAACGACCACTAACGAATACATGTTTCATCTTCTTCTTTCGCAATGTGAGTTTTCTTCCCTGCAACACTGTTCAACGAGGGAACCTTCAACATTATCTCATTTATTCGTGCTCCTAACACAGTTCGTATTGATACCCGATTTACTAAGGTTATTGGGTTTAATATTTAATGATTTCAATTCTTATATGATTTCAATTTGGGAATTAGGTTTTGTGATTAATGTTGTAATCTAAAATTGGATTTCAAATTTAATGTTTCCGATTTTCCATATGGTAGCTGTTAATTAAGTTGGAAAAAAGTTATCTCAAATTGGGATTTTGATTATATGATTGATGTCATTGTTTGCACTTGGATTTTAAAAGTCATTATGTTAGTTAGTCAATATGTAGGTTAAGATTGCATTTCAATTTTGGAAATAGGTTTTATCATTGGTGTTGATTATTTATTGTGTTATATATCGGCCGATTTTAGATGGACAACTACGCCGACTCTATTGGGGTTGATTTGAATAATGTTCATAACAGTGATTCATCTGATGCTGAATGTAGTTGTCATGAAGATGTTAATTATGTTGGTTCCAGTGGCCATCAAAGTTTGAATGATGAAGATGAATCTGATAATGACGATGGTGATAAATTGGTTGGACCGAAAGTGACAAATAGTGATGCAGTTGAAGGTGATAGACTAGTGAGTGTAACTTTGATTACTTTCGATGAAATTCGTACTTTGGAATTTTGAACTATGAGAAGCTTATGAATTTTATTATAGGTATGGAAAATGTAAATGTTTTTCCATTAGTAAACGCGATGTTAGGCGGAGAGGGCCCGGAAGTAGTGAAATAATAGTAATGAGGCAGTATGTATGCAATAAACACAGATTAAGAGACCAGAAGCGCGCATATAGGGTAGATAGTAAAAGAGAACACTGACGAACGATACGTACTAGTTGCGAAGCTAGGCTCCATGTGCACTACAATAACAAAAATGGAAAATATGTAGTGTCAATTTTTGAAGAGGCTCATAACCATGAATTAACCCCAGTAAAGTTTGTGCATATAAACCCAAATTATCGTAAAATATTTGAGGAAGATAGAGCTCAAATTGATGGTCTTCAATCACATGGAATCAGTACGCGTCATATAATATGATACATGGTTGCTCCAAAGGGTGGATATCATGATGTATGTTTTACAAAGAAATATTTATACAATTATGCTGATAGAAAATGCGTGATGTTATTAAAGATGGAAATGTTGTCGTTGCTCTAAATTATCTCAATGTGAAATCATCTGTGGATCCTATGCTATTTGTGGAATATTTTATAAATAGTGATGGAAGATTGAGGTCACTTTTTTGGATAGACGACACTGGTAGATCAGACTATTTCTATTTTGGCGATGTTGTTGCGTTTGACACAACTTACCAGAAGAACAAATACAATTATCTGTTGGTTATATTTTATGGGTGCAACCACCGCTCATAGACTATTATATTCGGTCCTGCATTGGTGTCAGATGAAACGACAAAGACATGTAAGTGGCTCTTGAGGTGTTTCTTAGAGTGCATGGAAAAAAAACATCCAAAAGCAGTGGTAACAAATGGAGATAGGGCTCTAAGGGAGTCTATAAAACATATTTTTCCTGATGCGACCCATTGGTTGTGTGCTTGGCATTTGAACAAGAATGCATGTGAAAATTTAAATAAGTCACAATTTTTGGAAGGTTTTAGAAAAGAAATGTACTCTAATTTTACACTTGAGTAATTTGAAGAATTTTGGTCGCGTAGCTGGTTAAGGAGAATGATCTTGAACAGAATGCTTGGGTTGCCAAAACATATGAGAACAAGTCATTTTGGGAAACTCCTTATCTACACGATACATTTTTTGGTCGTATAAGAACTACGTCTATATGTGAAGCTGTTAATGCAATAATCAAGTCTTATGTAAGGAAAAAAGGGTGCATTTTTAAGTTTTTGCATAATTTTGATAAGGCATGGGGAGATTACAGAAATAATGAACTTGTTACTGATTTTAAATCAAAGTGTTTGGATCCTGTGTTGACAACTCATCTGCGTCTGATTGAGATCGATGCTGCTAAAACTTATACAACAGAGATTTTTAAAGAAGTAAAAGAAGAAATTATGAAGGCTGGTGTATTAATTGTGAAGGAGCGATTATCAGAAGAGGAAACGACTATTTTTACATTTGACAAAATATTGTGAGGCTGGGTTTGAAAGAGAAGTTGCATATGATGCATTAGATAAAATATTACGATGTTCATGTAGATTATATGATTCACATGGACTACCATGTTCACACATTTTTTATGTCATGAAGGAAGATCATATGGATCACATTCCTAGTAGTTTGGTATTGTCGCGTTGGACAAAGAGTGCAAAAATTGGGTGTCTGAACATGAACTATAATGGGGAAGTGAATTTGAATTTGATTGAGCAAGCTCGTTTTGGGGCATATTGTTCTGTTTTTACAAATTTTTGCAAAGAAGCATAAAAAAAGAGTGGTGTTAATGCAGATTTAAGGGATGACAAAATGAATCTTTAGAGAAAGTATTGTAATTCTGACGAACCTACTGGTGCCCAAAAGTCATCTGTAGGTGATCCGACTACAGTGAAGACCAAAGGTGCTCCAAAGAGAAAAAAGAGTGAAGTAAAACCAACCAGACACTGTAAAAACGGCAATAGTACCACTCATGATGCAAGGAATTGTTTGGTAATAAATACCTTCTTTGTGATCAGATTCTTATGATATATATATATATATATATATATATATATATATATATATATATATATATATATATATATATATATCCTGCATTGGACATTATATTATAGCTATTTTGGTAATTTTTCCAGGAAACACAAGATAGGACATCTGATCAGAGTGTTGTGCTCGAGTCAATGCCGATAAATGATTATTTAAGCATAATGTAAAAGGTATATTCGGTTTTGTTAACTGTGTTATTTTTATAATTGTTTTGAAATATTTATTGAATTTGCATATACAGAAAAATAAAAGGAAATTCAGCTGCAATGCTAGCAGTAGAAGGCCAAAAAAACATTCACAAACACCACAAAGTCAATGTGGTAACATTGTATCGATGTCACATATGGATGTTACAAGCATACATGTGAGTACAATGTATGGACTTCAACCTATGATGCCTGTTGGATAACCTGTAATGCGTCAAATGCCTATGGTACAACCCATGTACCCAATGTATGGAATGTCAGTTGGGAAAAATTCTTCGTGCTTTGGTCTGTTATTACATGTGATGAAATTTAGTGGTCATTAGTGTGGGTTTTATTTATGACTATCCGATGCTAGTATAACATTTAGTAATTTTAAATAGACATCATGATTAATTAACAATTATGTTTGGAATGTAATGTAAATTTTTTATGGTTAAGTTTGTGAGGAATATTTAACTTTTGGATGTATTAAAATTTTGAAGTAGTATATGCTTCATACAGTTTAATTATCATTCGTATTAGGTTTGTGAAAAAACATTGATAGTGGTTCTATCCATTTGGGCCAAGATGAAACAAAATCGTATTAGGTATGTGAAAAAAAAAATTGGG